ATTTTTATGTACCTATATAATATATATATATGGCTATAATATACCTATAGTATATGTATACATAAAAAATACGTTATTTTGGAATGATAAGCGACTTGATTTACAGATAATATTGTATTCTAATACAGTAATACCTACTTAATTTCATAACCAAACTTTCGATCGGACGTTACGTCGTCTTACGTCTATCGAGAAGAGCTATAGTGAACGTACAATGCGCATAATATTGGGTAACTCGTGTAGGTACTAGTATACGACTTATATAATGGACATATTATAAGAAAATGTATTTTATTAGAAAGTATTTATAAATAATATTATTTTAAGTTTGTAATCGTTTTTAAAATAAGCACTTTTTATTTATATATTTTATATTTGAATACTTTTTAAATAGTTTGTATTATATTACAAGACTGTTGGATCTAGAATAAACCTGCAATGAATAGTACAATAAACGAAAAACATAATAAGAACGTATTTATCTTTACACTTACAAATAAACACTAGCACATAATATATAGTAATGTGGCTCTAAATCTTCTAAATCCTCTAACTCACAATATCATCACATTTTAATAGTACCATATTTTTTAGTATTTATAGTATAATAATTATATCTTAAAAACAAAATATACTGACCTATTTATGACAGCTACRATATTGTATTAAGACCACAGTATACCAAGAGTAATAAAAAAGATATGTACTTTAAACTTTCCCCTATCGATCGGTACGAATCGTGAYGATATTATTGTCACCATCGTGCGTAAAACAGCCACAACATGTTATCGTATGTGGTATGTATGGTGAGGTTTATGAACTTTCAAATTATAGTCAACGAAAAAATAATATACTTATTATATGCCTATATTTACTCGGTTTTCAGCCTTTAAACACCATTTTATTCGTTTACTAGCAATCAAGTTTACGATCGAGTCAAATTCAAACTCTAAATCAAATATAAAATAAATACAAAAATTGTATACGACGTCATAAACTTATGAAATAGTTTTTACGGTTTACCGTGTGTTGTGACTGCAGTATATGCGCGTAAAAAGTCTAATAAATATAATATAATTAAAACTGTATCATTGGATCTTGCGAAATACKACCGCCATAATATATGTTTGCTCATACAATTTTTTTAGTATTAGATAGGCTTGCGATTTTCGTGTCCGACTAAATTCATTATAGCACTCAAAACAGTGAAAATAKATATTTTTTAGGTGCATTACATAATTTTACTGAAATCTCGTACTGAACATACACTTAGCTGGCGGACGCCATGTTATATTATTTTCTTCGCGAGTTGAGGCGATAAAAATAATAATTTATTTTGACAGTTATTTTTTATTCAAGTTCACGCTATCAGCGCAATAATAATAATATATGCGTTTGTGGGTTGTTATCGTTACGTATGTGATTATATTTTACATTTTCACCGTTAAACTTCGTCATTGTTCGCAGATGTTTATATTATGTTATTATGTTAATCGCGTGTTATTTGTTGTCGATATCACAAACTCGGCCGTCTGCCGATGTTTTGTTTGTATGTTTTTTTTTTTTTTAGATACGATTACTTTTATCACATACCATATTATATTATATATGCCGTTTGTAACAAACGATTTGTTTACCACATTATAATGTAACTATATGAGTATAATATTATGTACAGTCTAAACTATAAAATATATTATGTGCATATAATATATAAATAATAAACTGTACAGCTCCGTTATCGAAAAATACGCTGCCCTTTATTTCAAATGTTCTCATACACGTCAAAACATACATACTATAAAATACTATATACATGTAAATATATAATACCAGATGCACTAGGTATATATTATTATGTATGCGGTGTTTGCTTTCTGCGCGAGGGGAATCGTCCGGCCGGGTGCGGGGCTTCCGTGAGTATAAGGTATACTTTGGAGCCTCCACTTTTCTTCGTTTACGTATTATTGTATATGTATATGTCAATATTTACGTGGCGCAATTACCTTTTTTGCGCTGGCAAACATTAACGATAAGACATTTTTAAAACAAACACCTGTAGAGCATTTGAGACGCATTACCTATTATAACCAATATGAAGGTTACCTATGCAATTATAATGCGGTGTATAACAAATGACCAACGCCTTGTAATATATGTGTCAGTTCCCCACTGCAGTATATACATAACATTACTAAATGCTCAATATTTATGAAAACGAGCTTTATATGAAAACTTAATTTAGGCAATTTGCATTCAAAAACTAAAACGGTATCGTTTACCTGCACGAAATTCAGTGTGTGATATGCGTACAATAATTATTAACCCGTTAATAAAAAACAATTATCTATTTAACATACTTACTCCCCTAACAAATTATCCTCAAATMATAATAAAATGAGACATTTAAAAAAAAAACAAAGTTCTAGTTGATAAACATTTCGGCATTTACATAAACATTTAAAAAGCCATGACATGCACAAACAAGTTATTGATTGTTAACACTATCTACCTATAATTAGTCCAAATTATATGATATTACGTAGTTAACATACGATACTTCAGTACTTTATCTAAACGCTAAATTTTTATATAATATAGTGTGCTTTTGTCTTTTGCTAAAAAGCATACGTCTTAGAGGTAGGAGTGCTTCAAAATGCTAATAGAAGCCAAATAAAGATTTCAAATAACCTTTACGAGCCATTTCGTTACAAATTTCTTGTATATTTTAATCCGAATTTTTAATTTTACGTATGTATATTTTACTCACATTAAAAGTTTAAATGTTCAAACATTAATAACAAGAGAATTTTATTTATCGAATAAAAAGTTAATCTTTTATAATTTATTATAATAAAATTATTAATCAGTTTTGTTTAAAAATAATCGATTATGTAAGATACAGGGAAGCTAAACGAAAATGGTACGAGAGTCAATTCCTCAACAAGCCTTAAGAACATGAATAATTTTTCCCCTTTTTAATGTGTGCTTATTATTTTTACGCTTCACTCCTATAAGTACGCCTACCCAATACAAGCCAGTTGTAAGCCACAACGTTAATGGTAATACTATATATAATTTTCAAAAACATAATAAAGATTACATATTATAGCACAATTATTTATAAAGTATGTATGTTTTCTTTAAGTTAGATTTGTACTGAAGATCCATGCTCTACACAATATATAGAAATAGAATCATACTAAGTTATTATTTAAGCTTTTTTTTGAATATTTAGACAGTTCTACTGTTTTTTTTTTTGTGATTTTTTTTAGTTTATTTATTTATTTTTTTTTACCAATTATTCCGTAGCAACTTAGGCCATTGGGAAGGGGGTGGTACTGTAGGTTTATGGAACGGTAAGGTGTGTTACACGTGGGTGATTTTTGGCAGAATTTTTATTGGGGCACCCGTAGGTTTCTGCCATGCCCCAGAATGGCACTTGTTCTCCTGACAACGTGACTTGCCCGGAGAAAAATGTAGCCCGATGGTCGAGGATCGAACCCGGTCCGGCTGAGACACAGCCGACACGTTAGACCGCTCGGCCACCTCGTCCCCCCTTTAGTTTATTATTGCATTAAAATCGGTATTCTAATATAATAACCATTGATATAATATGATAAAATTATTATTAAATCAATATTAAAATGAATAATACAAAGTGATTATAATGCTCAATAATATGAATTAGCTATTTGCAGGCTATTTATTATAATATTATTGTAGGGAACAAATGAGGGAATGATGACCAGTGGATAAATATGTCGGTCAGTGCTATACCTAGAGGAATCTTATCAAATCTGATAGATAATATTTAGATTTTCACGTAAAGTAAAGAGTGAATAAGGATCCATAACAATGTGGTTATATTAATTCAGATTTTTCGTAATTCTGTTCAAAACTAGTACGTTTAATATAACACGGTGAATAAAATACAATTGAATCAAATTACGAAACGGACTCGGAGTAAAACAGTTGTTATCGTGTAGGTAAGTAGTATACTAATCCTTATGCACTATATTCTATTTAAATCAGTATATTATAAATTGACTTCGCTTCAGTATGATATAACTATAAAATTGTATCAATAAAAGCAAAAATATTTAAATAAATTTTTGGAATTAGCTTGAAAGTATAACGATTCGTTCAGATAACTAACAAAAATTCAAAAATATAAAATACTAACTTATCCCGGGCACTTCGTTGCTCATTAAAAATACCAACTATATAAAATTGAACCTTTGTTCAATTCCCTATTTAATATTCGATGTAATGGAGTAATGGAGTTCAAAACCTAAACATTTTCATCGGTCACCTTGTATCTTAAAATATTATTGGCTCTAACTATTCTAAAGTAACGTAGTCACCGTAGCACTCCATTGATGTAACTAAACGGGTGCAAAAAGGCTGTAGCAMTCCCAAGTTATARTTTAGCACCCTCTCTTTGAAATTTAATATCCTGTGTTTTTTAAATTTACATTAAACCATTATTATAATAGTCAAATACCATCAATTTTATAATATGTTTTTAATTTATAAAATATTTACCAAATAAAAAAATAAATAAAAACAATTTTAGTCATAACTCATAATTATGTCTTAATTCATACTATTAATTCGTTATATATAATTACACAGGTATTCCTATAATTGATAAACGATTAGTA